GAAAAGGAGTCGACGGAAGACTACAATGTGGCCTGCATCTTGACCCTGCCTCCCTACCAGCGCCGGGGCTATGGCAAGCTGCTGATTGAATTCAGTGAGTACCTGTGCTCCCAGTGGGGCTGGGGGTGGGTATTGGCAGGCCCAGGCCGAGTGCCAGTTGCTCCCATTGGTGCCTCCCGCGCTGGCGTGCCGGGTTGCTGTGATTCTCAGCTCTGGCTGTGCAGCCCAGTCACCAGGGGAGCTGGCCAGAAACCAGGATGGGAATCTTCCAAGGTCCTTCCATTCTCAGGGTGACTGTCCTGCTTGTCTGGACTAAGTTCTCAGTCCCTCACCAATCCTTGGCCAAGGTTCTAAGCACCACCCAGCTTTTCCCAAATTTGATCCATCTGCTCCTGCCCAGGGCCATGGACAAGCTGCGTGAGCCACTGTTGCTCATCCCTCTGGTACTGTGATGTCATACAAGTTTCTGGGCAAAGATCAGTGGTTCATTTCCCCACTTGTCCCCTGAGCCTGTTAGACCGTAGATGTTCAAAATGCTGTTAACTCAGCAAACAGATGTAAGCACTGACTTGTGTGGATTTGGCCCCCGTTCCTTGCATTCAGTCTGGTCAGTCTCTTAAAGCCTAGAAAGGACTCTGCCCCTCATCCTTCATGAACTTTTCAGTGTCCCCTAAACCCCAAGACCCCCTTCTGCTTCCCAGCCTCCATTCACTCACCCCTCACTGGGAAAACCAAGCTGACCTGGAAGACAGGGAAGGAGCCTTAGCTGTTTGTCTGGTGAAGACACAGAGACTTGACTTGATCAAGGTCATGGGGGTCCATTTGAGAAATTTTATGGGTAGGATGATGTCAAGATGGGGTCACATCTTTAGGAAGCCCTCAGCCTGCTAAAGCAGGCAGATGCTTCAAGAAAGTCAGTCTAAGCTTTGGGGCTCAGACCTCAGTGGAGATGGGATGCAGGTGGGGCCACCAAGGAAGTGTGCTCAGTTTGGCAGACAGGGTGGGTGGCTGTTCACTGGGGGGGCTAAGAGTTCCCTATGGCTGAGGCCAGTGTGGTCTCCAGTTGATCTGTCAGGACTCTACATGCACTGCGGACCCAACAAGGGTGAGTAGGAACCCAGTGTGTCCCCTTCCTCTTCCATGCTTTCTCTTTCCGAAGCACCAGCCTTCTCTGTCCTTCTTACCACCGGGTTGCTTAGTGGAGGTCACGAGATCAGGCAAGACAGGCTGATAAGGGTGTACCAAGGAGAGGAGAGCACAAAGGGCTATGATCCAACATGAGGCTGGTTATGACGGTGAGGAAGGGCTTCTGGTAGTGCAGGCATCCCCGGGCCCTGATGAAGAGAACAAAGACTGCCCAAGAAACATGAGGCCACATGGTTGCAGGGCCAGAGGTCTCACCAGGAACTGCCTACCAGTGCCCAGTGGTCAGCAGGCAAGAGGCAGGCAGAGCTGTCAGAGAGGGGGAAAGAGCTGCCGCAGAGGCCAGTTACGTGCTAAGGAAAGGTCGCCTTCTGATGGGAAGCCCTGTGGTACTCCTCTCCTTGCGGCCTGACAACCATGGGTCAGGCCGGCCTGGTCTTAGAGCTGCTGACACTTCTCAGGTCATATAGCCAGAGGGGCTGATTTGACTGAGAATCCAAGCATCTCAGGCTTACACTAGGGGTGGGGTCTGCTCACCTTTCCTTCTCTCAGGTACAGAGAAAGTGGGACAACACAGAAAATAAGAGGCACTTTCTTTAAGCCATTTTCTCTGCCTCCCCGCCTCGCCCCTAAGCCCTCACTGGCTCCTAAGCACCCCTCTCAGTGCCCTCTGCACCCTCCACTGTGCTCAGCACACAAGTGAAGAGTGAATGTTCGTTAGTCCTTTACGAGGAAGCAGACAAGCCACAGACCCCAAGTCACAGAGCTACCACATGGCAGGGTCAGGATGGGAAGCGAGCAGTCTGCCACTGATCTGTGCACTTCAACACTGGTTATAGGAGGCTGTGAGTGCTTACCCACCCTCTCCCTCCCCATTGCTTTAGGCTATGAACTCTCCAAAGTGGAAGGGAAAACGGGGACTCCTGAGAAGCCTCTCTCGGATCTTGGTCTTCTTTCCTACCGAAGCTACTGGTCCCAGACCATCCTGGAGATCCTGATGGGGCTGAAGTCGGAGAGCGGGGAGAGGCCGCAGATCACCATCAAGTGAGCCTGGCCCCTCTTATCTGGGGGTGCATGGCATGGCCTGTCTGTTCCCAGGTTTTCTCATTCCTGGGGCTCCTGGGGGTCTGGGGCAGAGAAGGCGGCCCCCAGGGGACCTCATCTTTGCCCTCCCACAGCGAGATCAGTGAAATCACCAGCATCAAGAAGGAGGATGTCATCTCCACTCTGCAGTACCTCAACCTCATCAACTACTACAAGGTAGGGAGGGGCAGAGGAGACAGGTATGGGGAGGGGCGTAGAGTATAGGCCCCATGTGTGCTGACCTCCCTGGTCCCATCTGCCCAGGGCCAGTACATCCTCACCCTGTCGGAGGACATCGTGGATGGGCATGAACGGGCTATGCTCAAGCGGCTACTCCGCATCGACTCCAAGTGTCTGCACTTCACTCCCAAGGACTGGAGCAAGAGGGGAAAGTGGTGACCACGTACTGCCCATGGTAGTGCCAAAAAGCTGACAGAACTGGGGCTGACAGCCCATCCTGCCCCCACTGGGGCCCCCAAGAGGGACACCAAGGGAGACGGACTGGGCTGAGGACAGGCCCACAAGAAGAGGACAGGCCTGGTAGGGGCTGGCTGGTGCCCAGCACCAGAGTGAGCTCAGGGCTCTGGTCAACTCAAAGATCGGCTGGCTACAGGCCCAGGCCTGCTGTGAACCAGGGACTGGAGGGAGCCAGGCAGCTGTGTACAGTAAGACAGGGGTGGGAGTACTTTGTACAGAGGATGGCTGTAAAAATTTCTTTTGTAAAGTAGGAGTTGGGGTGGGGTGGGTACTGGCTGCAAAATTCTGGTCTTTTGTCCCCACCACCCCCTGGCAATAAACTGTTTCTTCAGGCCAGAGCCAAGAAATGTTCTTGTGGAAGAAGGGGCAGTGCCAGCTTAGGGCCTCCAAGGTACGGCAAACTCACGGATGCTGTGAAGAACTTGTTTATTGGGGTGATGGAATCAGTGGCTCCAAAGTGAAGAGCTGGTTTACTGGGGTGAAAGGATCAGTTGCTTTCAATTTCAAGGTCTGGTTCTCAGTCCTCTGGCACGGGTGCATGAATCTGCAACAGGAGTCACTTCCTGTTGGATTTCTGGGATGGAGTGGCTGGGTGGCCCACATACTTGGGGAGGAATCCTGCTGCTCTGATTAACAGCCCCCTAAGCCACAGAAGAGTGGTGGGGAAGCCACGCTGCCCTTGCCCAGTGTAACCCTCCAGTTAGACCCAGGCTCCCATCTGCTCCATTGTGTTCCCCGGCCCTAAAGCCCCAAATCACTCAGGTAATCTCTGGGCAACCTGGGAAATAACTGAAGCCAGAGGGGGAGAATGGATGGGGCCTGGGAGGAAGAGGGTCCATCTATCTACTCACGGCTTCAGCAAGGCTGGGCCAGGTTAGGGCCGCACGTACTTTGGCATCGGGGCCAGGGATGGTCTCCAGGCCCCATATGGTGAAGCGGCTGAAACTGGCAGAGGCTCCGATGGAGCGGTCCTGGGGAAGGGGTCCGACTCACAATGGGGACCGCTGTCCCCGCCCGCACCTCTGGCCAACTCTATTCCCCTGTGCTTACAAAGTCCCTCTCCAGCGCCTCTGGGGGTTCCACCAGCTCCTCTTCATTCTTTGAACCCTTTGAGAAGTTGTGTTTCCCCAATACCTCTCCCTTCTCTTCCATCACCATCACGTATCCCACGAGGTCGAGCGGCACCTCCACCTCCTCGCCCCGTAGACTGCGGCCCCGAAACGACACTTCGAGTCCTAGAGGAGGCAGGCGCAGGGCCTCAAGAAGGCCTGATCCAGGCCCTGCGGGGCAAATCCGGTGGCGGCCCTCCCGCACCCTCCGGTGGACCACGATCCCCAGGAGCCCTCGCGCCCCTCCACGCCGACGAGAGCGCGGCGTCGGCGCGGGGACTGCCGGGAGCCGTAGTCCGGCCGCGAGTGCTCACCATCCGGACCCTGGCGGATGGCCGGGGTAAAGAAGCGCTCCACAGGGGCGGACCGGTTAACCGGAACCTCACAGGGCAGAAGGTGCAGAGTGACGGGGTCAGCGTCGCGCAGGCTGATAGGGCGCAGGTGGACGCGGTGCTTCATGACGTCTTCCCCGTCGCTGCTCTCCATCTTCTGCTGCGATTCCGCCGCTCGCTGGCTGAGGCCGAAGCTGGCGCGTAAATCGCGCAGAGCCTGTCGGGAGGCCGTGGACACGTAAACGCAGAGTCCCCTGGGAAGCGTAGTACGTCCCTGAGGCTCCTCTGCAAGCTCCACGTCCCTGTCTGTGTTCAAGTCCAGCTTTTTTTTTTTTTTTTTTGAAAACTTTCAATGGTACATTTTTTTTAATTAAAAAATATTTTTTCCAACTACAGTTCACATACAATATTATATTAGTTTCAGGTGTTGGGCAATACATTTTTTTGTAAAAAAAAAAACGAGTCCGAAAAGTACACTTTTTATATTGACTGGTAGGGAGTTTTGTTTCTTAAGATTTTATTGGGGAATTGGGGGAAGGGAACAGAGAAGTTGCTGTCCTTTTGTTCTTCAGTCTAGCTGTGGAAGACATCGCTTCACTGGCCCATGTTGGTATTATCATCGTGCTTTTCCCCTGGTAAGGCAGTCACTCACTGGCCATTGGATGGCAGCTCATGGATGCTTATGCCAGCTGCGGCCAGCCCCATTGCAGCTTATGCCGTCGCCAGCTACTCACGGCAGCCCAGCTCCAGGTCGAGCTGTTGTTCACTATCTTAGCTGTAGAGGGCGCAGCGTCACTGGCCCTTAATGTGGGATCCCAAACGGGGGGCCCTGCTGCTCAGAGCTGGTGTCCCAAGCCAACTCTTAACCAATGCGCCACTCTGCTGGCCTGGGAGTTTTTAATTTTACTAGGGACATCAACCCTTCTTCAAATGCATTGAAGATATTTTATCCGAATTTGTGGTTTGTCTCCCAAACATGTGTATAGTTTATTTTTATTAACACAGAAGACTTATTTTGTGTAATCAAATTTATTAACTTTTTGTTTTCACAATACTTTTTTGGTTTATTAACTCTTCTCCAATGTTTATTTGTTCAGATACCCAACTTAGGTATGTTTTGTCAAATTGTCTCATAAAACAAATACATACAAACTGGTAATGCAGATTAAAATTGCATTTAATTCATAGACTTGAGAAAGAGAGAAACATCCCCAGTCATCCAGGAAGTGAACTTGGTGTTCTGTTGAACATGAACAATTTCACAACATCATCAGACAAGGTCATCCTGACATAAGGGATCAGGACAAAAAACGATCTCTCTGTAATAGCGTGAACATGGACAAAGGCACCAACATTGTCCAAACTACTAAAAGGATGAACCATCCCTCTATAAGTGACTGTTGCTTCTCTACCAATTACAACTTTAACCTCCATCTAGTTAAGATTTGTTAACTCTATCCCATCAAAGAAATACTCTACTTCCTGACAGCATCCAATCCAGAGAAAAGCCCCACTTAACTCTCCCCCAAATCACCTAACACGATCCCAAATTCTATAAATCCTTCTTAACACCCTCTTACTGAGATGCCCCACAGTGCAAGAGTAATAAACCCATTTGTTCAGCCACAGATGTGTTCCTGGTGGTCTTTGGCTGGAGGGCATTGACAGATTAGAGTGTTGCTTTTGTTTTTTACCAAGAAGAAGATACAGGGGCGGACCAAGTGGCTCAATTAGTTAAGAGCTCGCTCAAGAGTGCGAACTCGGAGCAATAGAGGTTTGATTCCTAGCCTGAGCTGAGTTGCTACTGAGCTGCCAACAGGTGGCAGGATGGCTCAGCTAAAAAAAAAAAAAATACATAATACCATTTATTCATGTCTTCTTTTATGTCTATCTGCACAGTTGTGAGGTTTTCTTCATGCCTAAATTATATTTTAAAGTTTTTTTCATAGATAGCTTATATTTGTTTCTATTACAAATTAGATCTTTTTTTCCATTTTTTCTGATTATTACTTATCTATAAGAGTTTGGCAAACCTCTCATATGGTCTCTGTCACAATTGCTCAATTTTGTCATTGTAGCATAAAAACAGCCATAGACAATATGTAAATGACTGAGCATGGCAGTGTTCCAATAAAACTTTATTTGCAAAAACAGGCAGTGGGCTGGATTTGGCCTGCAGGCCATAGTTTGCAGGAAAGCTTTTGATTCTTACATATTAATTTTTAACCAGATATCTACTGAATTCTTTTATTACTCCTAATATTTTTCATTTAATTTTCTTGAGTCTTCCAGAATTAGTCATCTGACTTCCAAATAATGATAATTTTGCTTCCTCATTACATCGTGTAGTTGGTTTTCTGGCACTTTCAGAACAATCTCAAATATTACTGGTATCAATGGACATCATTTTCTTTTTCTTGAAACTTTCATGGGAATGCTTTTGCTACTTCACCGATAATCATAAAGCCGCCTTTCAATTTGTTGTCTATGTCTTGTTAAAGCTGTACTACAAGGGTTTTTAACTCAGGAGTAGATGTTGGATTTTATTTTTTATATTTTTAGTTCTGTAAGTTTCCCATAGTCTGGATTCTAATGATTGCATTCCTGTAGTGCCATGTTCATCTGCCCTGTATTTCCTGTAAATTAGATCTCGAGGCTTCATTGGATTCTTTGTGTGTGTGTGTGTGTCTCTGTGTGTGCGTGTTTCCATCAGAAGAGACATAATGCCTATGTCTCTCTTTTTTGTGAGGCTAGCAGCCATGGATGATCATTGCCTGGATCCCTTCATTACTAGGGTTACAAAACTGATATTCCAAGTACCCCAATTCTTCATTTACTAGCTGGAATACATCTATAAGAAAGAAAACTCCCCCCCCCCATCAGCTATTTGGCTACCCACTGGTACAATGAGCACATATAAGAAAGGCAAAATAATTGCTTGATACTTTCCTTTTATTTCCCAGTTTTAAAAATAATAAGTTGTTTCCCTAGCATGTTCTTATGGTGACCTTTTTTTTTTTTTTTTTTAGCTGAGCCATCCTGCCACCTGTTGGGAGCTCAGCAGCAGCTTAGCTCAGGCCGTGATTATGGTGGCCTTTTAAAAAAAGTATTACATAATGGATTTTAACATTTTGAAGTGTTTCAGTTATAGTTATTTTTCGTTAAGTCTTATAAGATTTTATTTGAGCCAAATTGATGACTGTGCCAGGAAGCAATATTTCAAATGCTGCTAATTGTAAGTATTCAAATAGTCTCACCTTTTGCCAGTGGGAGCCTCTTCAAGTTAGCTCCCCAAGTCTTTTGATGTGACTTTAGTAGTCTTTTATAGGTTGCTTTGTTTTTTGGAGCCATGAGATGTTTTCATGCCTGCTAACACAATGGCCATTCTGCAGTCCATCCATGGATCGAGTAAGACTCTCAAGTCTTATTATTTAATAAATACAGGGGTGGACGTTTAGCTCAGTTGGTTAGAGCACAGTGCTCATAACACCAAGGTTGCCAGTTCGATCCCCAAGCCCTCCACAACTAGATTGAAACAACTACTTGACTTGGAGCTGATGGGTCCTGGGAAAACACACTGTTCCCCAATTAAAAAAACAAAAGAAAAGAAAAGAAACAAATTTTGTAAGACTGTAGCTGCCATAGATAATGATTCATCCGGTGGATCTGGGCAAAGTAAATTGAAATCTTTTGGAAAGGATTCACCATTTTGAATGTCATTAAGACCATTTGTGATTCAGGGGAAGAGGTCAAAATATCAACATCAACAGGAGTTTGGAAGACCTTGATTCCAACCCTCTGGATGACTTTGAGGGATTCAAGACTTCAGTGGAGGAAATAACTGCAGATGTGGTAGAAAGAGCAAGAGAGCTAGAATTAGAAATGGAGCCTGAAGATGTGACTGAACTGCTGCAATCTCATGATAAAACTGTAACAGGAGTTGCTTATGAGCAAAGAAAGTGGTTTCTTGATATGGAATCTACTCCTGGTGAAGATTGTTGAAATGACTATAAAGGATTTAGAATATTACATAAACTTAGTTGATAAAGCAATGGCAGGGTTTGAGAGGATTGACTCCAACTTTTTTTTTTTTTTAAGATTTTACTGGGGAATGGGGGGAGGGGAACAGCGTTGGGGAATCAGGGAAGGGGAACACACAAGTTGCTGTCCTTTTGTTCTTCAGTCTAATTGTGGAGGATGTCGCTTCACTGGCCCATGTTGGTATTATCATTGAGCTCTTCCCGGGTGAGGCAGTCACTCGCCGGCCATTGGATGGCTGCTCACGGCAGCTTACGGTAGCTCACGAAAGTGCACGCCAGTTGCCGGCCAGCCCCACTGCAGCCTATGCGGTCGCCAGCGACTCACGGCAGCCCAGCTCCTGGTCAAGCTGTTGTTCACCATCTTAGCTGTAGAGGGTGCAATGTCACCGGCTCTCATATGTGGGATACGAACCGGGGGCCCTGCTGCTCAGAGCTGACATCCCAAGCCAACTCCTAACCAACCCTTGACTCAGCCGATCCTTGACTCCAATTTTGACAGAAGTTCTATTGTGGGTAAAATGCTATCAAACAGCAGCGCATGCTACAGAGAAATCGTTTGTGAAAGGGAGAGTCAGTCGATGCAGCAAACTTCATTGTTGCCTTATTTTAAGAAATTGCCACAGCCACCCCGACCTTCAGCAACCAGCACCCTGATCAGTCAGCAGCCGTCAACCTCGAGGCAAGACCCTCCACTAGCAAAACAATTACAACTTGCTGAAGGCTCAGATGATGGTTAGGATTTTTTAGCAATAAAGTGTTTTAATTAAGATATGTATACTGTTTTTTAGACATAATGCTATTGCACACCTACTAGACTACAGTATAGTGCAAACATACCTTTTATATGCACTGGGAAACCAAAACATTTGTGTGACTTACTTTATTGTGATATTCACTTTATTGTGGTGGTCTGGAACCGAACCTGCAATATCTCCAAGGTCTGCCTGTACTTTGTGTCATTCAAAGAATCAGACTATTTCATTTAAGTTATTAGATTGTGGGCATAGAGTTGTTCACCATATTTCTTTATTATCTTTTTAATGTCCATGGGATCAGTAGTGATGACCCCTTGTTCATTTCTGGTATTAGATTTCTTGGAATGGGTCCAGAGTGTAATACTGTCCTGTGAATGATCACCAAACAGCACCTTCTGCGGGTGTATGAAGGTGACACATTCCTTTTCTAATCATGCCTATCCTTGCCCAACAGGCT